GGCAGCAGTTTAATCTAATGAGCCCTCTGGGTTTCTGAGGCCCACTCATGTTTCAAAGTCACTTGTAGAGTATGACTGAAGGGTGATAAAATAGAATGTAAAGTGCTTTGGAAGTTATTCTGTGATACCATATGGTGAAGAGTTTTGGGTTCAAAACTAGTTTTAAAACATTGATATTAATCCATGATATATAATATTCAAGAAAAGATTAATAATTCATTTTTATGTTCATGGGACCTCAGTGTTATTGTGTAGTCTTAATTCTTCCATTTGCTTGGATTTGGAAGGATTGCCATCTGTTACTTAACTTTCTTGGGCCAAAATGTGCAGACTATTGGGTCACTGGTAGTACTCTGTGTTAATGCATTTAGGGATTAAATACAGCTGATTGTCAGTTACTTGTTAATTTAAAAATTAGTCACTTTTAATTGGGCCTAATATATTATCATACAAATGAAATGGGTTTTAACCAACATTTAAATCAAGTTACATATGACTCTTATGTTTTAAATTCTTTAAAAACTCAGTATGACTTTAAATGAGACACATTTCAAAACCTCTGTAATGTCTTTTAAATGATTCAGAATTGTACAAGGAATAAGATGTGTATCCTTGGTGGTTTGCTTGGTCTTATAATTGTTTCACATTTCAGATGCAGTCATCATTTACATCTTCAGAGCAAGAGCTAGAGCGATTAAGAAGAGAAAACAAAGATATTGAAAATGTATGTTGATTATTTGACTTGTAACTTATAAACTAATATTTGACATTGTGGATTGTCCAAAGATCTATATTTTTAAAAATTTTTTCTTAAATACTATTTTAGTTGTAGATGAACACAATATTTTTATATATTCATTTATTTTTATGTAGTGCTGAGGATCGAACCTAGTGCCGCACACATGTGATATAAGCACTCTGCCACTGATCTACAGAGCCAGCCCCAAAGATCTGTGTTTCAAGATAATTTTTATCTAAAAATGATCAAGTTATGTTCTTAATATCTCAGGCAGTGTTTGAGTTGATATAATTTCATATTCCTAAAAGTCCTAACTTTTCATTGTGGAGAAACGTCATAAAAGGAAATCTTTAGTGTGTTAACTTTTCCTTCTTTGTTTATTGCTAGCTGAGGAGAGAACGAGAACATTTGGAAATGGAACTAGAGAAGGCAGAAATTGAACGATCTACCTATGTTACAGAAGTCAGAGAGGTACTTTAAATAGAATTTTTTCATCCTTGCTTCTCAATTCAAATTAAGCTTATAACAGAGTGATAAAATATTTCAGTATGAGTTTTTTGTGGAAGAGCTTCCGAGTAGTATACAAAACATGGGATATCATAAGGAGATCAATCTTAAACTCTAAACTTCATTGCAGCTGAAAGATCTGTTGACTGAATTGCAGAAAAAACTTGATGATTCATATTCTGAAGCAGTAAGACAGAATGAAGAGCTAAATTTGGTAAGAAGCTTGTTCTCCACTGGGTATCAAGGAGGCTCTGAAAACACTTGTATTGACATGTGGAGAAACCATCCAAACTTATTCTTTGCTAACCATCTTTAGCTTGGCATTTTTTGTAAGTTTAAGATAATCTTTATATTCTGATGATTCCTAAGATGATTCTTCTTTTCTTAGCTCCTAACAATGGCATGTTTGGCTTCCAGCTCTTTTTCAAAGTTTCCTTCATTTTATAAAGCCTCATTTCTCCAACCACAATATTTTCAGTGAATAAAGAAACGAAAGTTTGACCAAGTTTTGAAGATTCTCTTCTTATTTTTTTAATATTATTTTTATTTGTAGTTGAACACAACACCTTTATTTATTTATTTATATTTATTTTTATTTTTATGTAGTGCTGAGGATCAAACCCAAGGCCTCACACATGCTAGGCGAGTACTGTACTGCTGAGCCACAACCCCAGCCCGAAGATTCTCTTCTTTAACTACAATAGTTAATTGAACGTCTTATTTTCTAATCTGGGAGAAGATACATGCTCTTTATTCAAGGACAGAAACCTAGTTTCTTGTTTTAACTAGTCTTTCTATAAACTACAAATAACAAAAGATTATAAAATTCTTTATCAACAAATTACTTAACACATAGTAGTCCACACAATACAGGTTTACAGATGACTACAATTAGCTAAATGTCTTAAAACATACAGTTACCTGCATTCCCAATTTTTAGTTTCTAGAAATTTATATTTGTTATTGACAGGCTTAGTTTTTATATGAAGTTGGCCATCTTACTTTGTTTCAAACAATAATCATTCTATTTTCCTGTGACTTAAAAGTTGTTACAGTATGAAGTTAGATTTTTTTTTTAAAGTACCTGAACATATTTTAGGAAGATTTCAGTAAGTTTCTCATCAGTACTACTATATAAACCAAGTTAAAACTTCTTAATTCATTTGTGATTGTTCTTCTATGTTATGACAATGATTTATGAGAATCAGTTTTTTGAGCTGGGCTATATGAGAAATTATTTCTCAAAACACACACGTCCCTATTTTTTAAATAAAATATCTTATTATTTACCCATGCTTTATTTTAATTGAACTCATTCCCACTGCTGTGTAAGACTGGATCTGTTCATATGTTTTATCAGGATTATGATATGCCACAGTTGTAAGTCTTTACCCCATAATAATGGGGTATTTTTTTTTTTAATTATCACTTCTAATTAGCTGTAAAGTGATTTTTGCCTTTTAACTTTAGTGCTCAGTGGCTGATTCAGCCTCTATCTTGTAACGAGCGTAGAGGATTACAGCTACATCTCCATTTAGCCTGGTGTTCTCTTTTGTAATATTTTTTTTGCCCCTTTACAGTTCTGTCAAAAAAACCATTTCAAGTGGTACTTGCTTTCATTTTTTTTCCCCCTTAGGCTTGAGTTTGAAATCTTATTTTAGTCTTGGTTTGCTCAGGTTAACTATTGCCACATTTTAAGGTAGAATAATTTTTGTTTGCCTGTACATACTTTGTGTTCTTGGACCAAAAGATTAACCTCTCTGACATAAGTGTTAAACACAAAGTTTAGTAAAGAAGCAAACACTACTTTGGTATTTAAGTTGTACCCCAAATACAATTTCCAAATGGAATGCTCCCCCCACCTGCCCAGTAATTCTCCCTCCAATTTTAAATGACAGTATCTTATATTTTTCCCTTTTTAAGTCTCCAGAACTGTTTGGACAGTTATGCCTATGGGTAAGACAAAAACAGTTAACTTGATTAAGTTTAAAAAGAAAGTTATTGTTGGGCAGCATAGTTCATTCCCCTCATATTTTATTCAAACAGTTGTCAGGGAAGAGGCATTCTATATTGGCACTAGAGTTTTATAGATTTTTATAACTCGAAAAGTTGGTTATTAAGAAGTAGGATCTTGCATTGCTTTTTTTAGTCAAGTCTTTACTGGATGATCAACATTTAAGTTCTTCATTTTACTGGATTTGTAATCTTCTATTCAATGTCTTTAAAAATATCATACAATTGACTCTTTAATTGAACTATGTAGATTAAGAAAGCCTTTAAAAACTAATTGGTAACATTTTTATTTGCCTTTTAATTTGGAATGATTTCAATAACTTTGAATAGTGACTCCTTTAAAAGGCGCTTTACAGGAATTTGATATGTATTTTGCATTTGTAGTTTTCTATTTCAAACTCTAGTTCATTTCTATAGTTTTTCTTACGTGTAGCTCTACAGATGGAAACCTCCACTGCTTAGCTTTTCTGTACATCTGGTGTAGCATATTGGCTAATCCACTGTGCATAATAACTGTTAGTGATCCTGTTCTTTCATACTCTTTCTAAAGTCCTAGAGGTATCGGTATAATCAAAGAAGCGTGCAAATTAAGTTAATTGTGGTGTTCCTTTATTTTTATTTTTTTTTACAGTTGAAGACCCAGTTAAATGAAACAGTCATAAAACTTAAAACTGAACAAAGTGAAAGACAGAAGGTAGCTGGTGATTTACATAAGGTAAGGCTGCTTGACATGGAGACACAATATTGTGAGCCTTTGTTGTGCCTTCTATCTTAAGAAAACACAGTTAATTTTGGAGTTTTTCTTTTGTATCCTTATAAATTGAAGCTGGCTCTTTTTATAATTTTGACTTATTTTCCATTACTTTTAATTCAGCTCATTTCATCACATTTTATAATTATAAAACAGTAAAAATTTAAATTTAATTATATAATCAGATTACATCCATATTTTTAAAATTGGGACTTCACATGTGTAGTCATTTACAAAGTACACATCTGTTGATCTTTATGGGTAAAACTGAAAGATATCTATATTTTTGTTGTTTCAGAAATTGCTTTCATTTATTTCTTTGTACAAATACATATTTCTTAATCTCATAATAAATGGATGATTTTTTAGGGTTGCATATTTTATTATTTTTATTAGATTTACCATTTATTTGTATTTCTGGTGTGTGTGTGTGTGTGTGTGTGTGTGTGTTTGTGTGTGTGTGTGTGTGTGTACTGAGGGCTGAACCCAGGAGTGCTTTACAACACTCAACTACCTCCCTACATCTGCAGCCCTTTTTAATTTTGAGATCAGGCTATGTTAAGTTGCTGTCTGGC